AGCCGAGGGAGCGGAGAGGCGCCTTCGCGCAGTCGGGAAGGGGGTGGCTAATTCGGGGGGTTCTTGTTTTTTTATTTTATTTTTTTACAAATGTCGGAATGTCAAACCCCCGGTTTTCATGGGCTGCACTGAGCAAGAGCTGCCTGGCGCATGGCGAGAGGCCGGCATTGCGCCGGGCCTCCCTGCGGCGCCGCTTTCCCTGCGCTGCCGGCAAGCTGGCCGGCCCCGCCGGCTTGGCCAAGCTTCTGGTGCGGATAAAGGATGCTCCAAGTCGGCGCTGGCAGCACTTTCTCCCTCTCCCGGGAAACGCTGGGAGCCTGTGGAAAAACTAAGGGATGCTTCAGGTCAGTCTGAAATAAAAACGTGGGAGTCTTTCTGCTTGTATTAAGAATATTACTGAATATTCCCCATTCCATTTAATATATATTGTTATTCATAGTTATAGACTCTTTTTTTTTTCCTGTTTCTTGCATTTTAATGAAGCTTTTGTAAAAACAGGCCTAGGAAGGTCAACAAAGCATAAGTGTAACTGTTTTAACTGTTTAATGTAATGATAAGTTTTTATACACCCTTAATGTAACAGAATAATTACTGTAAACACTGCAATTAATGGTGCTTTACTTATAATATATTTTACATCAATTATATCAAATTTTGGTATAATGCATTATACCAAATCCAAACTTCTCTTGCAGACATAATAATTAAGCTCCATAGAAGTCGTTAAAAGAAAAAGTTCTATGTATTTCCAATTTCATTTAGGTATGGTAAACCTGGATGTAATGCAGAGACTTGTGACTATTTTCTAAGTTACCGTAGAATAGGAGCTGATGTTGAATTTGAGTTGAGTGCCGACACTGATGGCTGGGTGGCAGTTGGATTTTCTTCAGACAAGAAAATGGTAAGACTAATGATTCTTATGGTTCTTCATGTTGACATGCACTTTTATATATTATTTGAATAGACAGCATTTATATTTATCTGTCAGAAAGAGAGCATACAAAGAAAAACTGACCTATTGAAAACAAGTTACAGCTCACTAGCCTGTTTGTAAGCAGAAGCCAGGCTCCCAGAAAACTATTTCATCCTTTGTACCATATTCTTTCCCTTCTTTGCTAAATATTAGAACTATTCAGTGTTGAATGTCTGAATGTTATTGGCTTTTTGCTTTATTTTTATTTAAAAAAGCCCTCAGAGATAAAACTAAATCACATAGCAAGTGTCCTCTAGCATTTTATGACAATGTTATTTGGACAAAATATGCTTCATAAGATACATATATATATATACACATAGAGAGAGATTTATTCTTAGGTAAAACAGCTAATTTTCAATAATATAAATAAGGATTTCACTGTTTAACTTTGAAGATCCTTTTTTTCTTTCATCCCTATGTGTTTTTCCAGAAAAGGCAGAACTGTATGACAAAATGACTACTGCTAATTGAAATATACATGTTCTACAAAGCAATCTTATTGAGATTTCTACTTTCTTCTTTCATGAGTTTTACTGGATTTGGTTCCCTGCTCATCTTTTTTCTTTCTTTCTTTTCAAAAGCTTTACTTTTCATTGTGTTCTAATTATGTTTGTGTCATAAATCCTAAGTCAGAGAATAGGACTATTTCTTACTTAGTTGTAAGCAGTAGTCTGAAAAATGAAATAGTATTTAGAAATCCCAGTCTAGGACCCACAAAACTCAATGGGAAGATTTGCACAGACCTTGAAGCTTTTTTTTTAACCAACCAAAAGTGATAAATTGAATGAAAATGTGAGGGTAGGTGCTTTTCAGTTCTAGCTATATATGTCTTAATAGCACACATTACCTTTCAGGTTAAGCATATCAAGCAACACACTATGTCTGTGTCTCCAGTAGGACGACTAAGATATATTCCAAGCCACATGTCACAAAGCTGCTCAAAAGTACATAGTTTTTCTTCCAAATTTGCTGTGAGTGAAGTCAAATACATAGCAGTCAGCTGGGCTAAAACAACTGGCATTTATCTTCATTTCTTATTCTGCCTCTGACAGGTGTTTTGCTACCTGTGATGCATAGAATGTGCTAGTAAAGTGACTCCAGGTAAAACAACTTGGCTAGGAGAAGTGGAGTGTACTTTGGAGATTCAGATCAAAATGATGTGGCCTGGATAGCTAGAGAAGTTCAGGGGAAAACAGTATTTGGGTCCTGAGTAGATTTTTTTTTTCCCTTTTTAATGTGCTGTGACCCATTTCTTTGTCTAAGATAACATTATACTTGTTCTACTTCTAGGCTTTGTGCCTATTTAGGATTTTGTTACCTCATTCTATAAATAAAGAATCTTTTTTTTTTTTTGGTTTTTGTTTTTGGGTTTTTTTTTCTTTCCTTTTAATATAAATCTATTTTTGTTGTTGGTAGTGTTTTTTTTTTTTTTTCCTTTTCATACTTAACAATTAGGAATCTGTGCTCAGATGCATAAAATTAAACTTAGAGAATAAGTTATGGAGAACAGCGACGAGCTCAAGACAGAAGCTGGAAAGGTTGCCCGCAGCAGTACGAACCTGCAGAAACTCTTCATGAATGAATGGTTATCCCTTTTCTCCCCTTACTTTTCACACATATTTTACAAATCTACATTAAACAACAAGAAAAATAGAGATATGATCATATTAGCATCATCAGTGTGGCATTTCAGAAGGATTAGTATTTGAGAAGTAGGACTTATTTCTAACACAGTACTGATACTTGTGAAAGCAGAATTCCTTAAAATGCCATTCATCAAACTTGCAAAATGTTTTAAAAGCTCTTGATATTAAGGCATCTATAGGATAGTACTCCTAAAACTAATTGCAGTGTGATATGGTGTTCTGCTTTGACAATTGTCTTAAATTACTATTCTAGGAATTAATTAGTATTTCTGGGAATAAATTCTACAAATAATTGTCTAACACTTCCTTCTCCTATCCATTTGTTTCCTTCTTTCTTTGTAATGCTTGATGGTTGTTTACACTTTTCCTGTATTTTATAGTGTTCTCTATTTCATTGCCGCCTCTTGAACATTTTTCATTTTCTCTTAGATGAAATGTGAAGTGATACTTGCCTATATTAATATGGCAAGCAATTGTCTGTGCTGTTGTTTATGCGATTTAGTAGATTCATCTCCTCAATTTTGCTAAATTCTGTTGCTTTCTTGATGATTGCAAGGGATTTCCATGAGGAAAATGCTTTGTGGTACTTTTGTTTTAGTTTGTTTCATTTTTTTGCCTCGTAGGGTGGAGATGATGTCATGGCTTGTGTTCATGATGATAACGGAAGAGTTCGAATCCAGCACTTCTATAATGTTGGTCAGTGGGCTAAAGAAATCCAGAGAAATCCTGCTAGAGATGAAGAAGGGGTCTTTGAAAATAATCGTGTAACATGTCGATTCAAGCGTCCTGTAAATGTTCCCCGAGAGGAAACTATTGTAGATCTGCACTTAAGTTGGTACTACCTGTTTGCCTGGGGTCCAGCAATTCAGGGTAAGTTGATGTCTGTGCTACTGTCAGAACTGCTGTGCCAAGGTCAATAGAGGTCCTTCAATATGTTCTTCTTACTAGAGCACTTTTTCTTAAAAAATACACTAAGTTTGTTGGCAGTATGAGGCTTAAGAAGTAGATAAAAAGAAAGAAGCGATGAATATCGGACTCTTGCAAGTCTTGTTTTCATGTAATTATTATCCTCACTCTCCAAAGCTGAATTTGCTTAAGAACAGTTCATAATTTGAAATTCTGAAGTTCTCTGAAGGATGCTTATTAATTACTTGAATGTCCTTTGTTTTGTTATAAAGTTTGATTTCGGAAAGCAGACAAATGACTGTACTCACCGCCAGTGTTGTATTGCATGCTCAAGTAGTTTTGAAAATTATATGGCTTTCTAGCTATTTCTTTGATAAAGTTATGGGGAAAAAAGTCATTTGACAGTATTTTTTTTCTGCCCTTACCTACTAAAGGTTCTATAACTCGGCATGACATAGACTCACCACCTGTATCAGAGCGTGTTGTCAGTATTTACAAGTACGAAGATATTTTCATGCCATCAGCTGCCTATCAAACCTTCTCTTCTCCCTTCTGCCTGCTCCTTATTGTTGCACTGACCTTCTATTTATTGATGGGAACCCCCTGACTGCTGGAAAAGAGCAAGAATTTGTCAGTGGAAGTTTCTCAGGATGGATGGATAGATGGATGGATGATGCACTTTTATATTGGAATTTATATCACACCACCATCATCATCTAGCTGCTTTTGAACATAGCTAGCTTCTCTGGAGAAGGAAGTAACATCTCCATCGAGTGGCAGAGTGGTGACAAATCATTTAAGAAAAATCAGTGAACAAATAGCAGATTTTTTCAATGTTATGACTACTTGCTTAAAGAAAAGAAGACTTTTGTAAAATCTGTGTGTGTATGTGTGTTTGTGGGGGTGTCTGTGTGTGTGTTTGGGAGAATTTAGTGTTCAATATCTTATCAAATAGCAAGAATGCCTTTCAAATTGCTTCCTAAAAAGCTAAATTGGGGAAATATTATAATGCTGTTTGACATTTTTTGGTACAGATAGCACAACTCCAAGTGCAGATGCTGAACTTAAGATCAGGCTATTGATTCCACAGTATAAATCCTGCCTGTTTGGTTATTTTCCCTCTCTCTCTCTCCTTTTTTTTAAAATATATATATTAATTAAGGTTTACTTGTTCAGGTACTTTCTGAAACTAAGCATACATAATCAAGCATAAACATGATTCTTTTTTCTATAAAGAATAAGTGATGAATATCTTTGTAACAATAGTTCCTCAACAGCCTCATTAAGAGACATAGCTACTTCTTTCACGAATGATCTATGAGATTTTTTAAACAGGGAGAAAGGAAAATTGTTTGTTATATACTTGTACATGTTAAAGATGAATATGGGAAGCTGATGTCAACTTATATAGAAATGAAAATATAATTGACATTATTTATAAAGAACAATAAGGATTAATAAAAAGAACAGTGTTCTTAGTTTCAACAAACTATTCCTAAAATATATACTTATTGTGGAAAAATATAAGCTGAAGAGGAAATACATTAGAATTTTCTATCGCAAATAAATATTACCCAAAATAAATGCTAAATGTTATCAAAGTGGAAATTATCAAAATATATTTATGAGCCACAGAATATTAAAAAAAAAGAATTATTGAGTAGAATTTCTGATCTTTACATGTACACCCATAGCAGTCAAATGTACTCAAAGTAGCTCTTTCACATCCCAACTTGCACTGTTGGAGCAAGATTCTATCCTTTGGTGCAACACACTTGAGCAGCCTGTAACACATGGTTCTAGTAAATTATCTGATGGGCCTCCCTTCTACTAGAGGAGTGTAGAATGTCTAAAAATAAATAACTACGTCCGTCGGGTTTGCATTATTATTCACAAACCCAACAGAAGTAGTTATTTACTTCAACTAACCTAAGATTGTAGGTTTAATATTAAAAAACATGATTGATCCTTTTTGTAATGAAATGGTTGTGACTTGCTTCAAAGTGATTTTTTTAAATAGTTATGGCATTTCAGAGTTTTTTTTTTTTTTTGTATTTCTCTAGTTAATATATATCAACACCAACCAGGAGAAAATGTCTCTCTCAGAAAAGTCCCTCCTCCAGATCAAATTATTTTAGGTTCCTTTCAGTACTGCTGTCAAGATAGATACTAGGCAGCACTAAGTTGCTTCCATTTCTGAAGTGTTTTATTTTGAGAGTGAGAATAACTTGGACTTTGCTAATTGAAAAGATAGCATTGGAAAATACCGTAAGGCATTAGCTGATATCCTTGAATGTGTTCCTCATACAGAACAAAATTTGTGATGTTCCTTGTTACATCAAATATTATTCCCACCTTCTGCTCACTCTGTCCATCTTAGCTATAATGTCTCGCTTTATACTTGAAGTTTGTAAGCTATTTGGAAGAGAAACCATTTTCCATTTTTGTATTTGTGACAGTGCCTATCACAAATGGACCTTGATATTTGGCTATAATGTCTAACTGCTATTCCATTACAAATAATAAATAAGGTCTGGATTTACATCATAAAGAGTAGGGTAGGGCAAGAGACAAAAATGAGTGGGAAGGGTAGAAGTTTAGAATTTTTTTAAGGGAATCAAATATATTTCTCTTGTGACTGAGACAGTACTGAATGCTAATTGACTTTTCCTTCAAAAGGTCTAATTTCATAATGTCACTGGATACAGGATGATGCTTTTATGCAAAATTCTGTTGCGATAATTCAGTTTTTTGAAAGAAAATATTTTGATGAGAAACTTGACGAGAATAAGAGGGGATCTGATTAATATATATAAATACCTGAGGGGAGAAAGTAAAAAGGATGGGGTCAAACTCTTCTTAGTGGTGGTCAGTGACAGGGCAAGGGGCAATAGGTATAAATTAAAACACAGGAAGTTCCACCTCCATGTGAGGAAGAACGTCTTTCCTGTGAGGGTGACAGAGCCCTGGAACAGGCTGCCCAGAGAGGTTGTGGAGTCTCCTTCTCTGGAGATCTTCCAAACCCACCTGGATGCCACCCTGTGCCACGTGCTCTAGGTGTCCCTGCTGGAGCAGGGGGGTTGGACTAGGTGATCTCTAGAGGCCCCTTCCAACCTCAACCGTTCTGTGACTCTGTGAAAATGTTGAAATCCCTCTGTGGTGCTCTTGTCCTTCTTGGTTGATTCTGGAACACCTGGGCAGCAAGAAAATAATTACTTGTGCTCTCTTTAATCTGAGGAATACCCCATTTGGGGATAAAGGTGCCAAAGTTGTGTTTAGCTTGGCCTTTCCCAATCTTAACACAGGGAGTAGAGAATGACAGGAGCGCTGGGTTCGGCAGCAGACCCTGGCTGCCAGGGGAAGGCTTTGGAGCTCCCTGGGGTTGCGCTATCTTGGGCCAAACCAAGCCGGAGAGCTCCACAGCTGCCTCTGTGAACAGGCCCCTGTGCTCAGTGACTGCTGTGAGACAGAAGGAGCAAACAGCATGGCCAGTTCTGCAGCAAATCCCTTAAATATGCATATGCTCTTTTACCAAACTGTGGATGCTACGGAGACAGCGCAGGTTAATGATGAGTCTTCCTCTGAAAAGTCGCGTGCTCTTTGTCGCCTGCTTGCGTTTTGCCCCCATTTCCATGATGCCTTGTATTATTTAGCACAATGACTGTGCCAAATCTGAGCTCGGCTGTGAAGAGGGGTTAGTGGGTAAGGAGGACTGACACACAGCTGGTCAGCTAAGCATAGCTAGAAATCCATAGTTGATGATACTCCATTTATCTGCAAGTAAATCACTGGAAACAGGTTGGAGATGGAAGCCCCCTTCCTGCTCCTCAGTCTTGCTTCTCCTTACTTTCCCATCCCTCTAATGGTGCAGTTTTTTACAGAGAAGAAAGAAAACGGTTCCCTTTTTAGAGTCCTCTGATCTTTCCAGATGTGTTCTGGGACTCCTGAAGGGTTGCACCAGGTGCTCTAGAAGAAGAATCGAAGTTTATACATATACCTCATAACTTTTACTAGCCTTTAAATTTCCTTTTATGCTCCTTGGGTTTGCCTCAGTAATGTGTGGAAAACATACTTTGTTTCTTAATCTTCTCTAAATAATTTTCCTAAACAAAAGTATGCAGTAATAGTTTTAGGAGAGTAAATGTATTTTACAGAGCTACACAAAACATAGTCTAACTCATTTTCAGATATACTTATTGTGAGATACCTAGTATTTTATACAAAGATTTACAGATCTGGAGCCTTAGATGTGTGAAAGAAGTAGAAATGCATTTAAGCATTAAGCTGCTTCAGGGCCTCCCAAAGCTGTGCGCACAGGTGGCAGCTGTGAATTAACGTCCTCCATTTCAGGGCTGATTCCACAGATTTTCCCGAAAGGAGCAGGTGTCACAGTCTGCTTGGGTGCTATACAGTGCAGTACCCAGGCACCTCATGGTAAGAGAGTGGAAAGACTTATAGCAAGGCTGAGTGGCAAGGAAGGGCTAATGTTCTTGTCATACTCCTTCTGCACAAGTTTACGTGTAGCAGAACTTTTCTGGTACTCTTAGGTGAAAGCTGTGCTTGTTACAAATAGAAGAAACAGCATCTGACTTTGAATTGAGCTTTTATGTAGATCCTAGCTGTGCAGGCAAAAGGGCAGATTAAGCCTCAAGATAGGAACTCGCATGAAATTTCAGCATTTGAGCTGGAGGCTTCATCTTGTCCCTAGAAATACGGAAACCTGTCAAGACCCTGTGCACACACAGCAGCAGCAATCAGCTGCCACCTAATACCTGCTCACTGGCCGCTCCACAAACCATCGGCCTGTGGCACTTTGAGTACTGGATAGGAGCTCTAAACCTTTTCTTATCAGCTTTTGCAGTCCATTATGAATTTCTCCTAATTAAAATTTCATTATCAGCATCATTGTAGTGGTGCATTATGGCCTAATGCAGCTCTTACACAGCATGACCAGCACAGATACAGCTAGAACTAGCAGCCCTTGGAAGGTTTTAGAGAAAGCCTCCATTCCCCAAGTGCAAATATTAATCATAAGAAAGCCATTTATATATATTGACTATATGCCAACTTTTCTCTTTTTTTTTTGTATCCACCTATTCCTTCATACAATTTATACACAAGGTAGCTGATTTTTGCAGATATAAATAAGAGCTAGGTAAACCTTTCTTCTTTTTTTTTTTCTTAATTCAATATAGTATGAAATGATGGCTTAGGTAACTTTATTTCGGTGGGTTTTGCAGAGTTTGGCAAAACTACATATGCCTGTCCTTGGGTATCTACTCTCTCTAAATTGGTCTCCAATCGTGAGGAAAACCAGTGTAATTCCACAGAGTTAAGGAATACTTGTGCAGCTTGTTCAGCTGATAGATGTCAAGAAGTAGAGTCAAAAGGCTTTGCTTTCTTCGGAAATCTGTGATGGAATTTGCAGGGGCAACCAATGTGCTGGAAGAAGAGGGGCAGGGCGCTTTGCCTGAACTGCTGGGTAATCTGAATTGCGCTCATTCGGAGTGATTGCTGCTGTGCCTGCTTTCTGTTTCTCAACCAAGTAGGAACGTTCTTCCACGCTGATGAGAGGTTGGAGTGTATGTAGAGGTTTACAGCACATACATTATGAAAGCTGCTGCTCAATATTTTAGGCCAGTGCTTATCTGCAATTAGAGGCTATTCAGGAATGTCCTAACAAGGCAAAATTCTGCAGCACTCTTAAACCTTCTGCAAAGCTGGTGTGCCCTTACACTTTGTCAACTGCTATAGACTTGTAGATTGCTACAGAAAGTATTACCTATTAGCAGTAGTCTTCTGAGCTGTTTCTAAATTACTGCTCGCTCAAATTTGTGTTTATGTTTCAAAGATGGAAATGCATTTTTCAAAAGTGCCAAGCAGCTGCAAATCTTACATGCCTTCAAAGCCTGCTCG